ATATATATATATATATATATATATATATATATATATATAAGAGGGAGGAAAGGTGATGAGAGAATGGAGAACTCAACGGTAAAGGAGGAAGAGAGAATTTGTACGACTATTACGGAATAGAAGGGGAAGAAGAGGTGGGTTGGAAGGGGAGAATACTGTAATGATACACAATGTATACCTAGTACTATTTGCAATTGCCAGCATTTCACATCTTTGAACGAAACGAAGCCATGCGTTCTGGACATCACAGCATCACTTGGAGGGAAAGCACGGTGCAATGGAAATCAGCATGTGACGAAAAAAGGGCAGCTTCTGCCTCAATGGCAACGCCATATTATTATTCCCAACGATTGATACGGAAAATACAAAATACAGGAAAACGGTAAAAAGAAAAATATTACAAAATTCACAGTCATGGTAAAGAGCCCATGCCGATAGCAAATGACGGTTTACCCAAATTCCAATTCCAATCGTATATCCTCACACGCACACAAACAGCCCTTCAATTTTTTTTTCTGGTAAAAGAAACACTCTTTTTTCTTTTCTTTTTCGCTCAGAACAGCTTAATAACTCCTCGCCTTATCAATATACTCCTGCGAAGGAGTCTCGTATTCGTTGACAAAGTACGTCTCCGAGTTCTTGCTGAGCCACATAGTGAACTTGCCAATCTCCTCCCTGAGACGAGTGACGGACTGTTGATCCATGTTTGTCTGGGCCAAGAGTTCAGGAAGGGAGACTGCGATCGTGCTTGTTAGTAAATCTCCTCTCTACCGACCCTTTCGATCTCGAGAGTGATGGGCGGACTGACCAATTAGACGGGCGAGGTGCTCGGCACCGTAGACGTCGCAGACATTTTTATACTCTGTCGCCTTGCTATCCGATGCAGTGTCCCATAGCTTGCGAACGTCCATGTACTGGTTCCGCTCAAATCTAAATGTATTATTAGCCAAGTTGAAACAGTCAAAAAAAAAAAGTAAACAGACGAAGAGGGGGGTTAAACGAAGGAAAGTTGAAAGAAAAAGTAAACATAAAGGGGGGAGTACCGGTAGAGCAGAATCCTGCTGAGGGACTTTTCAAAATACTCGCGAAACCCGGCCATGACCTCTTCCAGAATATCGAGACTGGCGGATCCCTCGGGCCGGCTGGGCTTCTCGTAGCTGAGGTAGTCGTCGAGAATCTTGGAGACGGGCTTCTCGTGGGGGAGAGGGACGAGCTGATTGTTCTTGGTGATGTTCTCCCAGTCGTCAACTAGCATTGCTTGGAGGTGGTCGGGGATGGGGAGGTTGATCATGGGCTTGTTATGGAAAGCATCCTCCTGAAGTTTTGTCCCCGTGATTAGCAAGGTGGCCAGGTTCGCCAATTGAAGAAGAAACAGATGGGGAGAAAAAAAGACCACGGCCCACTGTGAGCTAGGCTGTGATTCTTTGACGGGGCAAAGGACGCCTCGTCATCTGTGTCATCTGCATCATCTGCGTCATCTGCGTCATCTGCGTCTTCTTCGTCTCCTTCTTCTTCTGCTGCTGCTCTTGTTCCTCCACTGGAGGGGTAATTGGAGCCGGATTGGTGGAGTGGGCCAAGGTTGAGGAGGGATTATCCGAGTTCCTGTTTGATCTGGATCGAGGTGCAGCGCTGCTCTTCATCCTCTTCACCGGCCTCTCTCTCTCCTCACGACAGGGAGTCTCAAGCCGAACCGGAGAGGCGGTGGTTGGGGTTGGTAGGGATGAGCATCTCTTCTCGGACACCTCGTCGTGGACAACCTGAAGGGAGACGCGATGATCTGACTGCGCGAGTGACAGACGGCCGTCTCCGTCGGGGGGCCCCTGTGTGAAGGGAGGACGGGGATAGGTGGGTGGGTTGAATTGCACGGGTGACGAAGCGCCATCGCCGTCTGGGGGGCCCCATGGAAGGGGGGGGCGAGCATAGATGGACGTATCGAATTGCGGAAGCGCGGGCGGTTCAGACGAGCCGTTCCTAGGGGAGGCAGGCGGGTAGATCTGGGGATCCACGCCCTCGTCCTCATGGTTGGAAGAGAGGCGAACGAGTGCCTCCGTCCTTCTCCGGAGGCCCGTCCCGGTATAGTGGCGTCTAGTAACCGGCGGCGATGCCGGCTGTCTCTTCCGCTTCTTCTCAGGAGCACGCAGGTCTCCGGCCGACCCCTGTGATAGGATTCCAGTTTTTGAAACGTAGTGGAGGTTGCGAGTAGGACGGGAATCCATGCGGGTCCGGATCATCTTCACCCTGGAGAGCTGCGGAGTTCTGCGCTTGGAAGCTGGGCTGGGAGGATTGAGGAAGGGAGGTCCGGAGGGGACATCGTCAGGAGCATCTCGAACGTTGGATTCCGGAAACACCTGACAACAATGGGCCCGCGGGGGTGGCAGGGGTTCCAGAACACGAAAGCGCTCTGGGATCCGAACCGGACGACGAGCCATGCTTGACTGATTGACGGACGAAGAAGCAGCCGTGGTAGTTATTTTCGAGACAGGAAACAGCTGTGATGCTTGGACAGTGGTCGGAATCGAAGAAGAATGGATGGCGAGAACGAAAGATGGGCAGCGGACGAGCCAGGGAGAGAGAGATGCGACGGTGAGCAGACAAGAAGGACGGGGGCTTCACGTCGAAGCGAGGGGCATGCTTATATACCCATCCATCCGCAGAGTTCCGCCAGAGTGATTCCCAGTTGCCATGAGCCCTCCAGTGTGGCGCATGATCCGTGAGAGCCCTGAACCACTTGGTCCCGAGGTTGGAGATGGATATAGGGGGAGAAGGAGGGAGCCTGCTGTATGGATGGAGTAGCGTGATGAGACGGCTGACGTCTATTTCGCCAACATGGCATCGTAAGCCGTGGCTAAATATACTTCATCCGTTGATGACAAACATGCGAAGTAAAGAAGAATACGTAGAGAGAAATAAGGCATCACCCAGAAGAAGAAGGAGTGTAGAAGACGATGACGAGACTGAGCGTGTCTGCTGAGGAGGAAAGGAGGGAGGGGTAATGTTCTGCTTACCTGCTCAAGCTCCCAATCCTTTCCCCTGCGACCACCGCGTCCTCCCTGTGCAGCCGACGAGGCCCTCTCCTCGCTACCGCGGGCCGAGTCGGTGGCGCCGGTCTTGAGAGCCTTCTTGGGCTGCTTTGCCGTCTTCTGCATACTATTCTTGAGCTGAGCGTGCAGCTGGCTGGCGAGGGCCCTGTGCTCGTCATCCAGGGGTCTGATGCGGTCGACGAGGACCCAGTCATCCCAGGTGTTCTTCCACCCCTTGTAGTGAACCTTGTAGCGGAATCCGTCGGTACCTGATGGCTGGACGTCGGTAACCTTGGCCTCGTAGAGCATATCCATGTGGAAGCAGAGGACCTTCTCGTCCTTCTGGAACTGAGGCTGCTGTTGACGAGCGGGAGGCATGACGGGCAGGTTAGCGATGTGTGGGAGAAAAAATTCCGGGACGCGTTCCTTTTCCCCTTCTCCAGCCTTTCCGTTCCCCAGGCCAAGTCCTGACGATGGATTCCGGCGTGACGGGTGATGCGCGGGCGCGTCCTGAAGTTGGGCGGTGAGATTTCCCTTGACGACGCGACTTGATGGCGCCTCGATCGCGATGAGTGTCCGGACGTCCCTCTCTTCTCTCTCCCTCCCTCTCTCTCTCTCTCTCTCTCTCTCTCTCTCTCACCTTCACCTGTGGTGAGGCGGACGACGCGCAAGAGGAATGGTTGAGTGCAGCAGTATCGGTGGAGGATGGAAACTTGTCTGAGAAGGCAATGAACAGCGTGTCGCTGCTTCACGGAATCGATGATGACGAGACGGAGGTAGACAGCTCTCTCTCCTTCTCTTGCATATGTGGAGGTGGAATCTCTCTCTCACCCAAGCTGGGCCCTGAGAGGCCTCTACCAATCAGGCGTCACGATTCACTGACTGCGGTACGAGGGAGAGCAGGGAAGCACCGCATCTTGTACGGCGGTGCTTGTGCTGTGATGAAATGCACTGGAAACAATACCACTGAGAGCGGTTGAATACTACCGATATAATCCTCAATGACTTGGGAAATCTCACGAGGTTTCATTGAACTGCCGATGGGCACATTGGATGATGATTGTACTCCCCAGTGCTTTATCACTACGTATGGAGTAATCTGTTACCAGCAGTAATAATAGAATATCGGTATCCGTACGGATTAATCGTAGAAGGAATTGCTCCACACACACCACCAAAATGGCAAATGGCGGGCAGCGACTGACGCTCTTTGACTCTTTGGTGGGGGATTCCGATCTCGCACCAGTTTTTTTTTTTTCTTTTTTTCCTTCGCATTTTCGCATCAACGCACCCCTCCTCGATCCGTCCTTTCTTTTCGAGCTCGTCACCAATAATTTGGCGAGTCGTAAAAAAAAAAAAAACGAGGAGTTTTGGGACGGAAAGATACTCTCAAGGACTCCCGGTTCTCCAGGATTTCCTTCTCCATAGCAAACCTCAAATCATCACTCATCAGTTGTCACCACCATCGAGTCTTGTCCCCCCCCCACGACAACCCCTCATTCACCCTCCTTCACCAAGGTCCGTCGCCGTCAAGCCGGACCACCGCTGAACATGGCGCAATTACCGGATCCCACATCCGACCTTGACTGGTCTGGATACGTCGGATCTATCCAGCATCACTTCTCCAAGCAGGCTCAGGCCAACCCCGACCGCACATGCGTTGTCGAGACCAAGTCGTCAGAGTCTCCCGAGCGTCGCTTCACATACCGTCAGATCTACGAGGCCGCCAACATCCTCGCTCACCACCTCGTCGACTCAGGCGTCAGGAATGGCGATGTCGTCATGATCTGGGCCCACCGCTCTGTTGACCTCGTCGTCGCCGTCATGGGTACACTGGTACGATGGTTTCCCTCCCGTCGCGTAACGCACCAATGCCGTAACCTCTCTCTCTAACACCTACCTTCCCCCCCCCCCCCCCCCCCCCCCCCCCCCCAGGCCTCGGGCCCCCCCCGCCCGCAGGCCTTCGGTGCCACCATGAGCAACCTCCACCCACTGCACTCTCATAGGCGCGAGCAAATCTACCTCGAGGTCTCTCAGCCCTGCGCCCTCATCAACATTGCCCGCGCCACCGACGAGGCCGGTCCTCTGGCGCCCCTGGTCCGCCGCTACATCGACGAGGAGCTCAGGCTCAAGACCGAGGTGCCCTCGCTGAGGATCGCCGACGACGGCTCCCTCTCCGGCGGCGACATTGGCGGACGCGACATCTTTGCCGACGCCAGGCCCAAGGCTTCGGCCATTCCCGACGTCCTTGTCGGCCCGGACAGCAACCCCACCCTGTCCTTCACCTCTGGCAGCGAGGGCCGCCCCAAGGGTGTCCTGGGTCGCCACTACAGCCTGACCAGGTACTTTCCCTGGATGTCCGAGAGGTTCAACCTTACGTCGGAGAGCAGGTTCACCCTGCTCTCCGGTATCGCTCACGACCCGGTCCAGCGCGACATCTTCACGCCCCTCTTCCTCGGCGCCCAGCTGCTCGTCCCCTCCAGGGAGGACATACAGCACGAGAAGCTGGCCGAGTGGTTCCGCGAGCACAAGCCCACCGTAACCCACCTGACCCCAGCCATGGGCCAGATCCTCGTCGGCGGCGCCAGCGCCGAGTTCCCCGAACTTGACCGCGCCTTCTTCGTCGGTGACGTTCTCACCACCAGGGACTGCCGCAGCCTGCAGCGCCTGGCTGCCAACGTCTGGATCACAAACATGTACGGTTCCACCGAGTCCCAGCGTAGCGTCAGCTTCTTCGAGATCCCTAGCCGCAGCAAGGACCCCAAGGCCATGGACAAGTTCAAGGACGCCATCCCCGCCGGGAAGGGTATGCAGGACGTCCAGCTCCTCGTCATCGACCGTCAGGACAACAAGAAGCTCTGCGGCGTCGGCGAGATTGGCGAAATCTACGTCCGTGCTGCCGGCCTCGCCGAGGGCTACCGCGGCGACCCTGCCCTCAGCGAGACCAAGTTCCTCAACAACTGGTTCGTCGACAATCAGAAGTGGGTCGAGGCCGACAAGAAGGCCGACAAGAGCGAGCCGTGGAGGAAATACTACAAGGGCCCGCGCGACAGGCTGTACCGCACCGGCGACCTGGGACGTTACCTCGACTCCGGCGACGTCGAATGTGTCGGCCGTGCCGACGACCAGGTCAAGATCCGAGGCTTCCGCATCGAGCTCAACGACATTGACAGCAACCTGAACCAGAGCCCCCTGATCCGCGACTGCAAGACGCTTGTCAGGCGCGACAGGAACGAAGAGCCTACCCTGGTCAGCTACATCGTGCCCGAGCTTAACGAGTGGCCCAGGTTCCTCGCCTCCAATGGCCTCGAGGACGTCGAGGACGCCGGCACCGATATTGGCCCGGCAAAGGTCTACTTCAAGCGCTTCAGACGCATGCAGACCGAGGTGCGCGACCACCTCAAGGACCGCCTGCCCATCTACGCCGTGCCTAGCCGGTACATTGTGCTGGACAAGCTGCCGCTGAATCCCAACGGCAAGGTCGACAAGCCCAACCTGCCCTTCCCCGACATTGCCGAGCAGACCGAGGATGCTTCCGACGAGGACATCAAGCGTTGGGAGTCGATGACGGAGACGGAGAGGACCGTCGCGACGCAGTGGGCCGAGCTGATCCCCGGTGTCAACGCCAAGACGGTCACCCCCCAGAACGACTTCTTCGACCTGGGAGGCCACTCGCTGCTGGCCCAGCAGATGCTCCTGGTGGTTCGCAAGTCGACGGGCGTCGACGTGTCCATCAACGCGTTGTACGAGAACCCCAGCCTGGCTGGCTTCAGCGCCTACGTCGACAAGAAGGTCAGCGGCGCCGGCGACGCCGAGGCCGACGCCGAGGCCGAGGGGGAGGCCAGGAATCCTCTCTACGCTCGCGCCCTCGACGACCTGGTCAAGAAGATGCCCGCCAGCTACCAGTCAGCCGACCCGTCGACCATCCGCGCCCGGTCCGAGCCGACCGTCTTCCTGACGGGAGCTACAGGTTTCCTGGGTGCATACTTGATCCGGGACATCCTGGACCGCACGAGCCGGTCGCTGCAGCTGGTGGCGCACGTGCGCGGAGTCAAGGACAAGACAGCCGGCCTCCAGCGTCTCCGGCGCTCGCTTGAGGGCTACGGTCTCTGGCGCGACGAGTGGGCCGGACGTCTGAGCGCCGTCGTCGGCGACCTGGCGAGCCCGCAGCTGGGCATCGACGACGCCTCGTGGCAGGAGCTGGCGCGCGACGTCGACATGGTGATCCACAACGGCGCGACGGTGCACTGGGTCAAGCGGTACCAGGACATGGTGGCGGCCAACGTCAACTCGACGGTGGACGCCATCAGGCTCTGCAACGAGGGCAAGCCGAAGCTGTTCACGTTTGTCAGCTCGACCAGCGTCCTCGACACGGACCACTACGTCAAGCTGTCGGACCACGCGACCAGCACAGGCCAGAGCGCCGTGACCGAGGACGACGACTTGATGGGCAGCCGCACGGGTCTGGGCACGGGCTACGGCCAGACCAAGTGGGTGTCTGAGCAGATTGTGCGCGAGGCCGGCCGCCGCGGTCTCCGGGGATCCGTCATCCGTCCCGGCTACATCCTGGGCGACTCGGAGACGGGTGTGTGCAACACGGATGACTTCCTGATCCGCATGCTCAAGGGCTGCGTGCAGCTCGGGGCGCGGCCGCGCATCATCAACACGGTCAACGCCGTGCCGGTCAACCACGTGGCGCGGGTCGTGGTGGCGGCCACGCTGAACCCGCTGGCGCCGCGGCCCGAGTCGCAGGGAGGCGTCCACGTCGTCCACGTCACGGGCCACCCCCGGCTCCGCATGAACGAGTACCTCTCGCTGCTCGAGTACTACGGCTACAAGGTGCCCGAGGTGGCCTACGACAGCTGGAAGGCCGAACTGGAGAACTACGTCTCGGCGGGCCCCCAGGAGAAGGACCAGGAGCAGCACGCCCTGATGCCGCTGTACCACTTCTGCGTCAACGACCTGCCGGCCACGACGCGCGCGCCCGAGCTCGACGACCAGAACGCCGTGGCCGTGCTCAAGGACGACGCCGAGAACTGGACGGGGGTCGACGAGAGCGCCGGCTACGGAATCGGTCGCGAGGACGTCGGCAGGTACCTGAGGTATCTGGCTGAGACGAGATTCATCGGCTGGCCCACCGGTCGGGGCAGGGCTCTACCCGAGCTGCACCTCTCGCAGGCGCAGCTCGACGCCGCCGGGTCGGTGGGTGGTCGCGGAGGTGGTGTTGCCCAGTAGAGGGGTTTTTTTTTTTCTTTTTCGGAAAGAAATCAAAAAAAAAAAAAAAAAAAAAAAAAAAAAAAAAAAAAAAAAAAAAAAAAAAAAAAAAAAAAAAAAAAAAAAAGAAAGAAAGCAAGAAAGAAAAGAAAAGAGATATCCGAGAAGAAGAAGAACGGAGTGGTAGATGAGATGGAAAAGCGATGTAATCTGGTATAAAGGTAGGAGGTGTTTTAAAAAAAAAATTAGAGAAGTTACAATGGACTCATATCCCCCACCCCACCCTCGGGATTCTAGACGTTACAAATTCTACGAGTAACGGATACAGGTAATACGACCAAGTTTATTAGTACAGATCTGTATAGCACTTATTACGTAGCAAGATACGCGCGTTGTCGTAGCGCGGCGCGTCACCCCGCCATCACCTCAACAATACAACCAACTACGCACCGCCCCCACAAGACGACACGAACGACACGATAGTAAAATAAAATAAAAGAGTATCTCAAAAGGACAGAAGAAGAAGGGGGGGGAAGAAGAACGGGTAGTCAGGGACAAGGGCAGAAAACAGAGCAAGCGAAAACCAAGCAAAACCAGAGCAAAACCAGAGCAAACCAGAGCAAACCAGAGCAAAACCGAAAAGCAAATCAACCAACCAACCAACCCCGAAAAAAACAGAGCGAGAGAACAAGAAGAAGAAGAAGAAGAAAAAAAGAGGTCATGGCCCCTACGGAAGCCCAGGTCCTGACAAGCTACCTCATCCGACCGGCCTCCCTAGACGCCATCCTGACGTACGACGCCTTCGCGGAGCGCTTCCCCCCCCCGCAGCGGGACTCGCCCGCCGTCCGGGCCCTGTGGAAGGATCTGGTGTCGCAGCGTGAGCGGCTGCTGGACGAGGTTCGCGCCGCCATCGAGGCCGAGGTGGTGCGGGGCCAGGCCATGAAGAGGGAGATTATCCGGGCAAGGAGGGAGGCAGAGAGGGATGATGAACCTGATGGCGAGGTTGATATGGAGAGGGCAGTAAGTCTCTCATACTTGCACTCCCACTCATTGGAGTTTCTCTCTTCTTTCCCCCCCCCCCTTTCCTTTTTTTTTCTACTCTCTCTCTCTCTCTCTCTCTCTCTCTTCTTGATCTTCATCTCTTCTTTCATTTCTTTTTCTCCAAGATGAGGAGAAGAAGAAGAAGAAAGAGGAAAGGAGAAGAGAGAGGGGAGGAAAAAAAATAGGAGGAATGATTTTTTTTTTAAAAAAAATTTTGTCTAACAAACCATGTGGTACAGCTATTTGGAAATATATCTGGTGCCAAGGAACAGAAACACAACCTCGACTCCATCGTCGTGGAACTCGAGGGGGCGGCGGACGCGGTGGAGGCGGAGATGGCGAGGTTGCAGGACGAGGAGGCTACGCTGAGGGAGGAGATTGCCCAGACCATCGGGGGTCTGAGCGATTTGCGGTACGGCAGGTTCGCAGATGGGAACGTCAGTTCTGATGTTGTCGATGCTCTGGGTACCCTGAGCGAGACGTGTAGGGGGAAGGCTTGATCGACCACACATGCAGCATTCGTTTATCCATGCTGCCACGACTTCGTTTCCTTTTTTTTCTTTTTCTTTTTTCTTGTCTGATCGTTTCTGAGCCTGTTCTTTCACAGCGTGCAACCGTACTGCTGCAAAACTCTCTCTTCGACATGCATCACTCCAGTCCTTGCAGACAACCTGTTCAGTGCCTGCATATTACAGATGCCCTCGGAGAAACAGAAAACTGGACGTACAAACTCTTCTCGTGGCTACACATACATACACACATTAATGATCGCGTTGCTGGTATTGCGTTGCGACCCAAAAAAAGTCACTAGTTCAAAGTCGCAGACATGATGGAAAGAAAAAGAGAAGAATAAGAAGAAACCTCCCCAATCCCATCAGCTCATCATTCCCTGTTTTTTTTCTTTCTCTCCCCCCCCCCCCCCCATAACACCCCCCTCCCTACCAAGTCATCATATAAGGACGTTCCGTTCTGATCAGTTCGTTTTTCTCTGTCGAGAAATATTGGTAAGAGCGATGGGCTCTTACTGAGCAGGACGCTGGGGCTCGATGCGACGGGAGCTGCATCGTGGTCAGAGACGGAGAAGAAGGGGGGGAGAAGATGAAGGAGAGAAGACTTACACCATGGTACGGCTGAACATGGAAATGGCGAGCATAAAGGCCCAGTTGGGGAGGAGGTTGAAGAGCCAGAGGGTGTAGGCGAGGGGGACGGCGACGCCCAGCTCGGCGGCCTTGCCGTTGAAGGGGTGCCAGAAGGACTCGAGCAGGACGAACTGGTCCCTGTTGCCCTGGAGGGCGGCGATGTCGTCCGAGGTGACGGACGTCAGGTTGAGGCGCTTCTTGTAGATGTTGACGGGGGCGGGCTCGGGGAGCATGTCAAAGGCCCAGATGGAGCCGACGCCGGCGGACCATGCGTTGCAGAGGATCGGCTGGTCTTCGCAGTTGAGGAGGCCCATGTGAGGGTGGGGGGTGGGCTGGGCGGCGAACCTGGTTGCCGTCTCGTTGAAGGCGAGCTCAGCCCTTCCACATTGGCCTGTTTTTTTTTTCCGAGGTCAGTATCACATCTATATATGACGGGGTACGGTAGGTACAATCGAAGCTTTCCATCCCCTCCCCGCCCCCAGCGGCCGCGAGGGTAAGTGGGATGGGATTCATCGGGTAAGAAGACAGGCGGGGGAGGTGGAACATACCGAAGCAAGTCTTGTTCCCACCGGTGGTAAAGACCCACCACTCCTCGGGCGTGGTGGCTCCGGCCTGGACGGGCTCATACAGCGTGTCCTTCCAGGTGTCGAGGGTGAGGACGTGGAGTTTCATGGGTCCAGTCTTGGCGGCGTGGGCGGCGGCGGCGTCATGACGGGCCGGGCTGGGAACGTACGAGCCAAAGTTGCTGACGAAGTTCTGGAACTGGGCCTGGTACTGCTCCAGAGGGCTCTCCTGGGCGGCGGCCAGGGCGGGCAGAGCCGCGACGGCGGTGGACAGGGAGAAGCGCATCGTCGCGGAGGGTGAAAGCTGTACGGCAATGAATAAATAGAAAAGAAATTGGAGAGAGAGAGAGAGAGAGAGGATAGGCTAGTCGATAGCTGTGATGCTAAGAGGACAGAGGGAGGGATCGGGGACGTACAATTGGAGAATAAGTGTAACTAGAAGAGAGAAGAGAAACACCCCCGAGAGAGAGAGAGAGAAGGAATGATGGCAAGAACACGATATAAGGATGATCCGTCCGAAGAGGAGAGGGAGGGAGGGGAGGGAGAGAGGGAGAGAGGGAGGGAGAGAAGGGTGTGTGAAGAAATGTAGAGTAATAGTAATAATAAGCGGAGTTGATGAGAAGAGGAGAGAGGATATGGAGGGATAGGGACCGACTGGGGAGAGGGAGCTTACCTGCTACCACTAGTACCAGTGCTAGACTCCAGCAAGTATCAGTACCTACAGGCTACAGGCTACGGGCTACAGGCTTCGAGGTAATGGCAATACCTGGTAGGTGTGAGTACGTGCCATGCCCGTACAGAGCAATATTCCGCTTGCTGGGAAATCTCGGCTCTAGGGTTCTTCATATACGGAGTATCTGTACAGATTACAACCGCCTGTATCGCATCATGTACTGTCCATCCCTACAGATGGATGGGAATGTGAGGGTAATAATGGGCGGGTAGATCAGACCCTGTGTCTGCCCGTACTCGTACGCGTAGCAGCATCATCACATCTCTCGAACGGATCATCCAGGACGGAACCAGTCATATTTCTTTTGTTGGCTGTCAGCTCGACTTTGTTGTGCATTCCTCCTTGCCAGTCTCCATCGGGTTTGTTGCGACGACGTCCAGGATCCACAGGGGACCAACAAAACACGCCAGTCGGCTGTGGTGATGCCTGGTGCATGCCCATGTATGCTCCCTATCTGCGCATCGCTTGGGAGGGGAGGTCGAGGTCGGGAATTGGGGACGTCGACTTGCAGCCGCAGCGTATTGAGCATCTCGGCCTGGGAGCCGTCAAAGGATGTATCTTGTTGGACTATCCTCACCTCTCTCTACAATGATCTTGTATGCCTTACCAACCATTCCGCCGGGGCAGACGCACAGCTTCGAATGTTAGGTGTCGGGCCCCTATAACGGGGGGGGGGGGGGGGGGGGGGGAGGGGCCCCGCTCCGAAAACACCCCAGGGGTCAA